ATTATTTACTTCTAATCTGTTCGTTGGCACTCGTTAAGCAACCCGCGTCGCCATGTTTGCACAATTTGAGAACACCTGTAATGCAATTTCAAATACAAAACCAAAATAACTAAGAAATTAAAAAAAATAATTCATATATTAATTGGTTTATTTAACGGGTTATATTTGTAAAAAATAAGGTAAAATAAATAATAATAAAAATCATTTATTTCCTTTCACATTAAATAAAATTAAGTATAAATGAATGAAGAAAAATGCAAAAGGAGGTGGCTCAGCTAATGCTGTTCAAAATCAATAAATTGAACAGCGCTGATTTTCAGTCATCCCCGTTTCTCTTTGGCTCATTGCGGGAATCAAGGCTAGGTACGTGTGTACAGAATTAGAACGTGGTTTTTACATTGCTCGAAATGCACATTCTAGTTATGAATTATCACGTAGGTACCTGCACAGATACTACATGCTCAGCGAACACCACAACCAAGAATAGTTTCAAAGAAGCGATATATTCGTCGAACTCAAGAAAATCGTAAGGAACAGATTATTGAAGGTATTATTTATAAAACATCAAGTAAGAAATTTAAGTTATCACAGGTCAAAAATTATCAACTGTTGACAATTTGGAATAGCATGGAAGATAAACAGTCGGTCGACTGATTAGTGTTATTTGAACGATAGCTACAACATTCTAGAGTCTACGTTCAAATTAAAACAATTTTTGGAGGTCAGTATGCGTGGTATGCTAAAATAGGAGTGGTTTTTGTTTCGAACGAGACGTTGCCATCTAAATAACACCTCTTGCATCCCACGGGCTACTTCATGGAGTCTGAATGGAGCTTTTCATCGCCGGACCGCTCCTTCGCATCGCGTGTATAATTTTTTTTTTTTTTATGATTGTAGGATTACTGGTGGCCCGGAGGCCTTTCCAGTTTCACCAGGACAGGTGGGCGAGCAAAGGCTCAGCCAGGAGGGGTGGGATTTGCTAACAGCTGCCCGAGCGCCTCCGAAGGAGACCTAACAACTCAAGAGTAGCTGCTTCGCGAATGAATCTACTACCGGATCGGAATCGCGACCCGCTGAGAAGNGGCTTTATTCTACTTATATACGCCATTGATTACCGGCGGAGTGAGGGGAGGACGTACGTATTTAATGACGCGTATACGTCGGCGTATTCTTGCACAACGGCGATAAAGTGTTGTGCAGTGGAGGCAGCGCGAATGGCGTCGCCCAAAGCGTTAACGCGCTCAAAGTTGATCGACTGAAAGAAGTCGATCGCTAAAGCGAGATATTTGGACGCGGTCGGAGGGCGCGTGTATAGTGTAGTGGCTTCTGCAATACTCACAAACGTTGTGTATCGTCCGTCCGTCCGATTCATCATTGCCGAAAGATGAGCGTCATCGTTTACGATTCACCAAGTTAATGAGGTTAGATTTATTGAATCATCTTTGACAGCCAGCGGAGAGCGCTCTCCGGGATCCAGTATGACGTATTTGCTATCATTCACCGATGTTACATCGAATAGTACTGACTGTGACGCCCTGCTGCGTTTATTGCAGCCTCAACATTTCTAATCTCATGATAAAAACTAGCCTCAAACTAGAGCTCCGTTTACATTAATCAGATGGAGTCTACCGAGTATGAGTCTGGCTAGGTTACGGAATGATTTAATGTGGCGACGGAAAGTCAATCTCTTATCCAAAAACCAATGTGCTTGACCTTCGCAGCCTATTGTCATATTTTTTTTGTTATAAAATTCATTTCATAGACAATAATTAAGATCCATTTTTTTTCTAGTTCTATTAATATTTCGCACTTGAGCACCTTTGGTATCGTTATGGTGGGCATTATCACTGCAACGCGGATTCATTATACTTACTGGCAGTAATTATGGACACGGGATAAAATTATAATTTATAAATTGTGAAATAATAATTGAGGCGGTCAGTGCAAAAGTGGCCTAAGCCTACCTTAGTTAGTATGGAGATAATCAGGTTTGAATTTACTTTTACGCTGTTTCGTACGCAAAAACAATACGCACAAAAATAATTTTTACAATGCCATTTATTATCTATAGGTGAAACTAGGAATAGGACGGTTTTGCAAAATAAATTGCAATATACATATAAAGCACGAATATAAAAAATTATGGTTTAGGCCACTTTTGCGCTGACGACCTCAATTATTAAACACCAAATCATTTGCTTAGTAATTTCGAGTATTGTGGTCTTGTAATTAAGTGATGTGAGAAGTACATGTGTATATTGATGTAGGTAGAGGTCGATTCTCAGTATGTAATAAATAAATACTTATTCTTTTTATATTATATAATACTACTGAAATAAGGTTGTTGACTTTTATGTGTACCTATTTTATATAGAAGCGAACAAATTTATGTGTCTTGTAAATTTCAGATAATGTGCAAAGAGAGGCCAATATCATTAAAGTCAGTAAAAATGTTATTGCTAAGCGTTCTCCCTGAATAGTTTTCTTTTTTGAGTTGTTTGTTTATCGTTATAATAGAACTAACTACGTACGTAATTTTTTTATTGCTAATACCGGTTCACCCGGTTTTAAACGTGCTTGCAATCTCCGTGCAGGCTCCTTTCTTTTAGCGACATTAGTAAAATTTCATTTTTCAGATTTAACTTCACAACCCATGGGTCACCTGTAAAGAAAATCAACGAAGCATATATGATACTTTTTATAAGAGCTAGTTATTGATAGCAATAATGTAATTTACATTGCAGAATCGAAAGTGACGTATAGATTATACGCCTTAGAACCAGAAGCCTTAAGCGCACCCCTTTAGAGTACCCATATTCATGACATTTATTAGTACTCATCGGTAGCAGCTGTTAGTAATTTATAGTCGTGTCTAGGATCTAGCTCCCTATCTTGTCTAATACTATAATTAAATAAAACGCATTCTTCTGTAGCTGTTGAAAAAAAAACAGTGTTTGTTGACTGATTAACTGATACTGGCAGCTGCCAAGGACCACTATTTAATAACATCCTAGCGATAGTCTAGAAGGCGAAGTGAGTCGAAGGCATTACTGCTAAGTCATACCTGTCGGTTTGGAGGCCTATCCGTCTTCTCCATAGCTCTTAAATTACACAATAGTGACTTCGACTGTATGTGTAAGAAAATAAAACTAGGTGATGGCCGAGCTTGGCTCGGTTTTTTTTTGATAACGCCATCTTGTTGTGTCTTTAAAGCGGTTAGTTGCCCTCAATTAAGAAAAATAGTATTATTATTTGCCAATAGATGTCGGGAAGAGTTGATTATTGAAAACACGAATAAAACAACATTTTCTGAAAATAAATCGTAGCTAGATCGATTTATCACCCCCGAAATCCCCTGTATACAAATTTTTATGAAAATCGTTGGAGCCCTTTCCGAGATTCAGATTATATATATTAATATACAAGAATTGCTCGTTTAAAGGTATAAGATAATAAGATTCGGATACTTTGCTACCACCATAAGTTAAGGGACAGAATACGGCGATAAAAAAAATTGTTGTTAGCATTGCAATTGTAACAAAAATGCTGTGTGATATGTATATAATGTGATATGTATATAAATGATATACTGATAATATATTTTGTATAATATTTTATAAACTTTTTTCTTATTAAACTTAAACCGATGTTTCCATAATTACAGCTACATGAATTATTTTGTGAATGTTACAACTGCTAGTTTCCCTAATAACGTACTTAATATACCAATTATTTCGAAAGAGAACATCGTGTGTTAATTCATTTGTTTTAATAACACAAAATTTATTTCGGACGTAATAATAATCGTATAAAATTAAACTCTTCGACAGTCGCACCCTTCAAGTCGTAGCGTATGGCTGCTTTGTGTCCGGAAAGCCTTTGCATAATTCACTTTTTAATATCAATTCTGGCCATGGAGAATTATTCCAAAAAAAACTTGCGTATAAAGATACAGCCACAGCTTTCAACAGAATAAATAGAAAAGGGTTTATCAGGTCCATTGTTCTTTATTTCGGAACGTTCGTGAAACGTGATTTTATAAGCATTCGCTCAAAAAGGATTCCTGAGCGGGCTTAATTTTCTTCAAAGGTCTGAATGATTTAGAATAACAACGTTTTTAGAATGCCATTTTAATGCATTATCATATATGTTTTGCGAAAATTATAGGTATTTTTTATATGATTTAATTTTGACCTTAAGAACTTAAATTTTTCATGAATGTTGACTAAAACGCTTCTTCACAGACACAGTGCAAAGATAATTAATGTACTTCAAGCTTTGCTGCCTGGTAAAGAGCTGTACAAGAATAGCTGTCCTAATTATGTCAGCCAATGCTGTAATAAATAAAACAGAAACTCTGGATTATAAGTTATAGACATAATATTTTGAGAGAGCATCCTTTATTCCGATTAAAATTCGCAAGTACGATTTTTTACGGTTCAGTCAATAGATATAATATCCCCCTACCAGAACCCATCTATGCTCAATACTGCTTTACATTCCATTTCAAATACATTCCCTTAAATTCACAAAACTGATTTTCGAAATTATCGATATCGAAATTAGGTTCAGAGGGCTTGTAATCTACCGAAATGTTTAGCTGCTTCAAGATCGATACGAAAAAGCAATAAGGCAAGACTTCTGACCCAATCTGTTTTATTTGTTACGGAGCTTGCTTAATGGGTTAATAGTATCATGAATTGAAAAAATTTGACTTGAAAGCACATTTCTTCATCATGAAGTTTTTACCAGACTTCGAGTTATTTGTTTAAGAAAGAAACATCAAGTTATATATGTTTTACCATTGAAAGTTAGTGTACATTATGTTTATTGTATCCAAAAAAAATACCAGTAGAGATCCTAATTTTAATTCTACAGAATCACGAGAAGTGAAAATAATAAAACGTTTTTTTTCTTATATTATATAAAGGCTAGATTATAAACGAATATTAAAATCACAAATTGTATGAAAGTGGAGTCAACTAAACAATTCTTATAACTTAATTAAGATTTTCGAAGAAGCTTGACGCAGGTAAGATTTTGGCCGAAGCTCTAATGTTGTGCACAACATTGATATAGCACGATTCTGCTATTTTACAAATAGCTGCTTCTCTTAACGTTTTCAAAGGCTCCATATCGGTGTCCAAGGAATTAGTACCGGAATCTGTGGAAAAAATACCAAGAAAATCAGATTATTTCAGCAGCAGATCGCAGTATTTATTGCTATTTATCAATTCACGTACATCATGTAGTGTTTAAATCACAAAAGACCCAAAGCTTGTGGAGGCGGAGACCAGGCTTAGCGAAGTATTAACACAAAGGTGGAGCAGTTGGCCATCAGAAGGACCAGCACATATTTAATACCAGGGAGATTCTCCTTGATTTGAACCCTTGAGTACGTCCACAATACAGATACGTAAACTGTTGCTCCTCTGACAGACCCCGAGAATGATTTGCTTCTGATCTGAGTAGTTATAGAATATTCGGCACTATTCCCACAAAAGTGGAAGCACTTCGTTCTTCTCGCTATGAGTTTGTCAAAAATGACCTGAGGGCAACCGTGGCAAAAAAGTTTTCAAAAACATGGCATCCAGGCCATATGAGTACCTCATTTGGTACCTTAGACCTTGACCTTTGGCCATACTATGCAACTCGTTCCCCTAGTCAGAACGGTTTTTGTATCTTTGGGAAAAATGCAGACTTTTGGCACTAAGAAAAGCGATACGCCTCGCTGACTTAATTCCTATCACCTTATACGCGTGGTTTTGTCACAGAGATGAAATAGAGTGCCCCTTATATTCGTCAACTAATCAGCAGATCATTACTTGAAAACAATTGTGTCGTACACCGGTTCCTGATCATAATTGATCCAACGGTAAGCTCAGTTCACTACTGTGGAACATCAGCTATGGCTGGATGTTTAGGGATGCCTTCTCCCGCGCCTGACAGACTTAGCGTCGTATGTATAACGAAAGTTAAAGTCATGCACACAGCGACGCTGTTACCTTCTTCATATTTTCATTGAGTAGTGTCTCAACTTACCTTTTTCCAATGCGCTGTTCAAATCTGAGCTGAGAGTAACTTTCGGTTCTCCAATGCTTTCACACGTAAACGTTTCCGGCTGGACTTCAAAATGCTGAACTCCGTTATCATCATTTTTTAAATTGTACCCATACCTGACTGCTCCAATGACATCTGAAATATTCATATTGATTTATTTAAACTGAAAGTGCACTGCAGTTTCTACCACATTAAATTTGTAATTGAGAAAGAATCAAACACGTTGCATGTTTCCCGCATGAAAAGTTGCTTGCGTCAACGGTCCATAAACTACTAGTAGATTTGTAAATTCGTTGGAACGTAAAAACTCGAACGAGCAATATATAAGTAATAATAAAAGTATCAAGAATCTTAATCTAAATATTGTTACTGAAATTTAAGTTTTGGTCGGAATGTTACGGACCATAATAAAGATCTAGTACCGCTAAGGTTCAGCCATCAGAACCACATAAGCTTAAGTATCACAACCGACTAAAAATGTGATGATTAAAAAACTGTTGATTTATCATATTTATGTGAACTTATTGGTGTTGAAGTGATATGGTGATTTATACACACTGTAAGTACATATTTATTTATTTTTCTCCATTACTGAATAATGTGTTTAAATGTTTGGTCTAGTTTAATTGATCACTTTGAATATTGTATTAATAGCACACCATTAAATTTGTTGTGCTACAGTACTTGTGGTATCTTTTTCATAATTTCTCTAAAAAACATGGTTTTCTGTAAGTGATCGATTTTAGCGATAAGACCGCCCACTGCTGCCTGTTGACTGATAATTTTAAAATCTGTTTTGGTTTATACTCTGGCTTATATGCTAATTGTGTTTGGGTTTATACTCTCTCTCTAAAAAAACAATAAAACTTTCTAATTTTTTTTGTTTGTTTTGATTGGGATGTATTTTAATTAACAGTTTCTTACTTGTGTCGGCCGTGTAAAGTCCTGTGAAGGACTTCGATTGTTTGGTCAACTCGATTACAATGTCCCCAACAATATGTAAATCAGCTTTCGTCTTCAGCAGCACCGTCTTCGCTTTAGTGTCCATTCTGTAATGAAATATTATATTATGTTGCCTTTGTCTTTCGGACTGCTAGTTAGTTTATTTGATTTATTATCAATTCAATTGTAAATGGAAATGGAAGTGTGTCTGTTTGAAGCCTTAATTCGTTCGGTTCGAAGTTTCACTTTTACATTTTGATTCGGATCATATTATAGCTTATACTTAACATAGTAATATTGTATTTAATAAATAATAGTTAAAAAAAACTAAAAAAACACGCTTTATATAAAATTCAACAAAAAAATAGAAAATAAACTTTAGTAAATTTAAATTGACAATAGTGTAAAAAAATATATTTTTTACTGTAAAAAAAGCGTGCGTTTTATTGAAAATTCTCTGAGATTGACCCCTTAAGCTCACCTACCCGTTCGGCCGTAGCTGGAATAGCCCTATAGGCTACCAACGAATAGGTAGGGGAGAAGAAAATTTATTCACTGGCATGTGATAAATTGATACCTACCTGCCGAATTTGACAAGCAACATAGTCAACGCACCGGGCGCTCAACCTTTAGGCCTAATTAACGACTTCCTTCGTTTAATTCAAGATCGATAAGACAATCACGTGAGAAGTCCGCTTGTGTATATTACGTATGTGCATATTTTTGTACGCATGACGAGAATAAATTCTAACTAGAGATAGAGTGTGAAAAGTTTAACGTTCATTTGGATGAGGTGGCCAGAATTACGAAATTATAAAGTGTGGATCTTAATCATTAAAAAGGTGAAGTGGGGAAACAATATTAAATTGAAGAAGTCAACAAGACTCTTCTTCTACATTAACAGCATAGTTCCATCTCGGGCAGCTTAGTATTTAATGAATTAAAAAATAATGGGTACTAATTACATAAGGCCCCAAGCTAAGATTGTATGTACAGTATGGGAAGCTGCTTTACATACATAAGTACTTCTAAGAATATAGAATTAAATTAATTATTCATTATTACCCAGGTAAACCAAACGAACGTTTTCATCACAAGAACGTTTGCTTGAAAGCGCTTGTGGGTAACCCGATTAGTTAAAACCTTATTTTTTTCATTTATTAGTAGCGTTTGTAGTTAACCAGACTAACATAATAATCAACTGTCAAATCCTCTGCGTTTCTTGTGATCAATATAGGCACACATTTAATTTCACTCCGTACATTTTAATACATGACAAAATATTAATACCAATTCTGCAATAATACCAATGCTTTGGTAAACATATAAATACACTTACTGGAAATCAGATATTTGCTGGTTCTTTAGACCCGTGATGTTTAAATTTTTGAAGCGGATCACGACTCCCGCATCGTTTGGAGCAATTACATCCAATGACGTCACAACTAGTGGATCGATAGGCCATATGTCGTATTGTGGTATCCCTTTACTGGTTTTCTCCAAAAACTGCTCTGTCGCACTGCTAAGGCATTGCATGTCACCAAGTTTGCAGGGTTTTAGAAGAGCATCTGTAACATCGAAAGCCAGACTATTCAATAAGCATAATAATATATTAATAAAAGTAAGTAATTGGAGTGGAGTGTTGTAAATTTGCAAAAATTGTTCGCAACGATAATATGATAATTATAAAAACACGCAATCAATCATCGTAAAATGTATTCTCCTTTACAATAGTCTAAATCAACTATAGTTTGGTAAAATCTTCAAAATATTTGGTCTTACTTCTCTCTGTGTTAAAGCACTTAATACGTGTTCCTTTTTGACCCTTGAAAGCAAAACCGTTAATCCGAATTTACTGAGACTTCAACTTCCTGTCGAGAAAGTGGAAAGTAGAATTAAGCTGTGATAAGTTAAAGGGCTCGGGTGATTAATTAGTAGCTATTTTCTCGTCAGTTTCACTTTTTAGGATTGTAATGAGATAAAGTTATAGTTTGACGTCAGTAAAACACAGCGTAATCAACCACATTATTTCTCTAAGTTAGCATTTTGACTTTTATTCTATATACGAAGCACTTTGTAGCCTATAATTTCAATTTTCGAAGTTAAAAAAATAATGTTTTATTTGTCTTCATCTAAACCCAAATTAATAATAATTTAAACTCAAGTTGTTGTTGGACGTGCCAATAAAATCGTGACTTTTGCACTACGTTATCAAGATTCCTGTGAAATTAAACACGCAGAAATTTTTGCTTGAAATTTTAGATTACACTTGTCACAAAATAAACAAAACTATAATTGTAACAGTAAAAAAACATTATCACCAACGAATGTCACATACCTCCATCGGAAGCCACGTATCTAGCAAACACAAAAACCAGGAATACTTTCAAAGAAGCCATTTTGATGTCCCGTGAAGCCTAATGAGGAACTGACATCGAACTGATGGATTCAAATTAATCACATGTTTATATAGATTCTGATTATATAATGACAAATAAAGAATAATGGGTATATTTAGTTATCAAGCACAGGTCAGAAATTATCAACAGTGCATATAATTAACTTTAGTTTCATATACAACGCTCACAAGTCACCGTTATACAAATTTATTTAAATTGTTGCTCTATTTTTAGTATTTTCATCGGTTTTCGCCAGTCGTAAAACTTTTTGTTATAAGCATGAATTCGCGTTTTAGAATTCTTTTATTTTAGATTTATTTTATTAACTAATTTAAAATGTTAAATCTAAGCTTACCTATCTCAAAACATTTATTTCACAATGATCTCAAAACATCACTAATCGCGTCTACTTTAATTCAGTCATTTCGGAAGTAGCAAACACAACAAAACGCACAGTCAGTTAAAGAAAATTATAAAGTAGAAAAATTATGTATAAAAATAGTTGAGTTATTTCGCTTTATGACATTGATCGGTGACTCGGCAGCGTCATACAGCTTTCAGAACAATTTGCTTTTTAATTTTTCACACGCATTGCGAAGTGTCTTCGAAATCTCTCGATCTCTCTAGTATCAATGATAGGTAAATGCTTACCTCCGGCCGTGGTCAGATAGACAAGCTGTTGCCTATAGTATTCTTAGGTTGATAGCCTCTTATTCCAACACAATTATAATGTTGACTTTTCGTCTTAGTTTGGGTGGAGATATTTGTCTTCCATATTAGCTCAGGCTACAATTAAAAATCAGGTATGAGCTTATAGCAATTCACGCTACTATTATTAAATAGAGAGCAATATTATGTCGTCAACAACTTCAAGAGTAGAGCTCCCAACAGTAACTATGGTGGGTGCAACATGGACATTGTACATGATTTTTGTTTTGTCCATGTTCATTTTAAGACCCACTTGTTGAGAAACCCTACTGAGGTCACCGAGCATACGCCCTAAATCTTCTAGCGACTCTGCCATGACCACGATGTCATCGGCAAACCGAAGATGAGTGATGTATTCGCCGTTAATATTGATGCCAAGTCCTTGCCATTCCAGAAGCTTGAAGGAATCCTCCAGAGCAGTGATAAACAGTTTCGGAGATATCACATCTCCCTGTCTCACTCCTCTCTTTACAGGAATTTCCTTCGTGCAATGCTCCTGTACTCGGACTGACATGGCAGGACAGGCAGTCCGATTAGGTAGGTCCAACTTTGAGAGAGAGGTCAGTAGACGGATCCAACTCGGCTGGGCAGCGTTCGGTAAACTGCACAACGTCTTCTCGTCCAAAATACCTCAGTGCCTTAAGACAAAGGCGTACAACCAATGTGTGTTACCAGTGATGACTTACTGCTCGGAGACGTGGTGCTTCACTAGGGATCTTTTTAGAAGGCTCAAAGTCGCGCAGCGAGCTATGGAGAGGGCTATGCTCGGCATTTCTCTACGNCACGGGTAGGTACCACCACCCCGCCTATTTCCGCCGTGAAGCAGTAATGCGTTTCGGTTCGAAGGGTGGGGTAGCCGTTGTAACTATACTGAGACCTTAGAACTTATATCTCGAGGTGGGTGGCGCATTTACGTTGTAGATGTCTATGGGCTCCAGTAACCACTTAACACCAGGTGGGCTGTGAGCTCATCCATCCATCTAAGCAATAAAAAAATAAAAAAAGCTATAATTGTAACAGTAAAAAAAACATTATCACCAACGAATGTCACATACCTCCATCGGAAGCCACGTATCTAGCAAACACAAAAACCAGGAATACTTTCAAAGAAGCCATTTTGATGTCCCGTGAAGCCTAATGAGGAACTGACATCGAACTGATGGATTCAAATTAATCACATGTTTATATAGATTCTGATTATATAATGACAAATAAAGAATAATGGGTATATTTATTTATCAAGCACAGGTCAGAAATTATCAACAGTGCATATAATTAACTTTAGTTTCATATACAACGCTCACAAGTCACCGTTATACAAATTTATTTAAATTGTTGCTCTATTTTTTGTATTTTCATCGGTTTTCGCCAGTCGTAAAACTTTTTGTTATAAGCATGAATTCGCGTTTTAGAATTCTTTTATTTTATATTTATTTTATTAACTAATTTGAAATGCTAAATCTAGGCTTTCCTATCTCAAAACACCACTTATCGCATCTAGTTTAATTCAGCCAATTTGGAAGTAGCAAACACAACAAAACGCATTATAAAGTAGAAAAATTAAACATATAAATAGTTGTGTTTTTTCGCTTTTGGACTTCGATTTGTGAATCGGCAGCGTCATACAGCTTTCACAACAATTTGCTTTCTGTTTTTTTTGCACGCATTGCGAAGTGTCATCTCTTGATTTCTTTAGTATCGATGATAGGTAAATGATTACCCCCGGCTGCGGTCAGATAGACAAACTGTTGCCTATTGTATTCGTAAGGGTGATAGCTTCTTATTCCATCGCAATTATGACGTTGACTTTTCGTCATTGTTTGGATGGAGATATTTGTCTATTATATTGGCTCAAACTACAACCAAAAACCAAGCATGAGCTCATACCAATTCACGCTACTATCATTGAATAGAGAGCAATATTATAGTCCATTCGATGTTAAATGGTTATCGGAACTATGTCGCCATCCATGACAGCAGAAATACGCAGGACACACACGTAAATTGTGCAGCTTACATGATGCTATTGTCACACATTGTACACGTTCCGAGTGCTACTCGTTAGACTTCGGACATTTTGATTGTTTATAGACTTCGAAAAGTCAAACTAATATTGGTATTTGTTAAAACTGTTTTCATTATAATAGTGCCAAGCAATGGCAAGCCTTAGCACACTTCACTGGAAGTCTAGTTTCTCTAAAAGAAAAGCATCAAATAATTTGTTCAATTAGTGATTGTTTTTGAACTAAAACGTTTGCTCTTAAGTTATGTGTGTACACGTGTTTCAGATGTGGGTTATTAGTGCGAATAATTTGTAATTAATGAACAGTGATGACAGTGTTTACCTCATATAAAATAATGAGTAGTGTTTATGATAAGTTCATCAATCCATATGAAAAACAATTATCTGTGTGTTATATTATATTAAACTATCGGACAAGTTTGGAAGTAAAACTTTTTTACGCTTGGACCTTTTTTTTTTATTGCTTAGATGGGTGGACGAGCTCACAGTCCACTTGGTGGGCCGTGAGTTCGTCCACCCATCTTAGCCATAAAAAAAAACGCAAGCTTGACTTGAAGCCGGTGAATGCGTGACGAGAGCGTTACGAAAAGTGTGATCAAGCGAGGGGAATGGAAGTTTAGAGAGGGGGAAGGAAGGAAATTAGTTGGAGATAGAAAGAGAGAGAGAGTTACGTTTCGTATATACGGTAGGGGCAAGAGAGAGAGAGGTGCAGCACACATTTTCTTTCTATGTTTCCTTCATAGCCAGTTACATTTCGTATATCTAAATATATACATACATGCATGTACAATAACTAAAGTAACAACAAAACCTCATTCCAAACTCATATTCAACGTAACCTTCAAAATTGGTTGTGTACAAAAATGTTCAATATTTTATGAAGTAATTATACTACATACATAATTCATTTTAAATATTAAACCCTCGGCTTTAACTAATCAAATAATATTCAAACCACGATACGGGAATGTTGTTTTTGTTCGCCTTCTGAGCTGTATATTCAGCCATCCGCTTAATAGTCGTATGAGTTCCAAAATTTACGATATTTACGCAATAATGTAAACTAGTGGTCCCCGGTAGTCGAAATTCGACTATACCCAACTAATTGAAATTATAAGTTTGTAAACTATTATGATTCTATTGTCAAAGACTATTTATTATACTTCTATAATCACAGATTTCGCCAAGTCTACCAACACTTTAGACAAATATTAATAGAGACAAAACAATATTGAATCTATTCTCATTCTCATATTCTCAATTTTACCACAGACTGCAATAAGAAAAGTTTGACAATAAACAAATAGTATGCACGCGTGTGTGTGTGTCAAATACATGGTAGTGTGTGTAATGTTTTCTTTATTGATTTAATGTATCTTTTACGCATTATTTAAAAAAAATACTAGCATTGTGCACTTCTTCTCTGTATTTTCTATAAGCGTGGAAAATTTCATAATCCTCCGTCCGCGCAATTTTCGTAAAAAGGGATACAAAGTTTTTGCTTTACGTATTAATATATAGATTGAGAACTAGTTTTAAACTCATATTAACGGGAATTTTATCATCACGTGTATATCAATCAGGTAAAATGAATTAATGGGGGAGAGGGTATACAGGGACATGGATACATCAGACTGGCTAGCCTGCATTCTTCCATTCTGAATTTTCCATCACCAAAATCTAGGTATCTTATAGGCATCATACAGGCTCGGCACCCGCACGTTCCCGTCAATACGTTTAACCACCTTCACCTCCCCGAGATTGTGTCTTACCATTGAATATCCTCCTCCTTGCGTAGATAACCCTCATGCTGAGGGTCGTGGCCTCCTCTAACAATTTGTCAGTTAAGTTCAAATTAATTAGATTAAACTTTTAGTTGAGTTAAAGTAAAATTTCTTGACCGAAAATATGGGATCCAGTTGTAGCCAAACAACATTTTATATGCTCAACGATTTTTTATTTATTGCGTAGACGGTGTGAATGCAGCGTGGTCTATCTGACCTTTTTCTTCTTGGTCTCGCTTTAAATTTCTAAATCAATTGTATAAAATAATATAGTTCATCCTAAGAATTATTCCATAAATATCTAGCACCTAAATATATGCAATAATATGCAACTAAATAGGATCGATGAAAAGAAGAAACATTCAATTCTAGTAGACGAAACTATGAACATTCGATCTTATAGCTCTAATTTCAAGATTTTGTTGGGTCCAAATTGTACCATAATACCGTGTTGACATTACCTAGTATTTTTCAGCATTTTTCTA